AACTTTATCAATTGCATACAGTGGAAAAACTTGCTACTTGGAAATGTCTTGGTGATCATATCAACAACATTGTCATCAGTCGAAACTTCAGCACTTGGGCCTCTCCACACTTGATTATCTCTCTGACAAAGGGCAGTCTCACATCGATGTGCTTCGTTCACTCATGATAGGCTGAACTCTTTGACAAGTGTATTACGCTTTGACTATCAGATTTAACACTGATAATCCGACCTTGAAGTTTCAGCTTCTTAGCAAAACCTTCAAGCCACAATGCTTCTTTCGCAGCTTCTGTGAGGGTAATATACTCAGTTTCAGTTGTTGAAAACGTAACAACCTTCTAAAGAGTTGCTTTCTAATTAATTGCCATGCCAAATTTAGTGAACACATATACATAAATAGATTTTTTAGAATCCATACAACCTGCATAATCAGAGTCGACAAATCCTTTGATTTTGACTTTGCTATCATCACCATAGGTTGCATCATAAATCAGGACACTACCTAGAGACTCATTTATGTACCTCAGAATCTACTTTAGTGCTTCCAATGTGCCTTCCCAGGATTGGCAATATACCTACTTACAAGGCTTACTTCGTACACTATGTCTGGCCTCGTACAAACCATAACATACATCAAAGAACTTACTATACTATCATATAGAATGCTATTCATATAGGCTTTTTCGACTTCAGTACTAGGACTTTGAGTCGTACCCAGCTTGTACTAAGAATTAGTCAATGTTAGAACAAACTTTGATTTTAACATACTAAACTTTTCGAGAATCTTCTTCAGGTATGTCTCTTGAGATAAGCATAATCTTGACTGCTTACTATCTCTCTGGATGTCAATCCTATGAATTTTGGAGGCAGCTCACAAATCCTTCATGTTGAACTCCTTATCAAGTTTAGTTTCATCTTCATAACATCTTCAACATTGTTGCTTTCTATGAGGATGTCATCCACATAAAGCAACAAAATAACAAATGAATTTCCAGGTTGAAATATGAAGTAAACACAGTGGTCAAATTGACTCCTAGTGAAACCTATGTGTGCCATGAGCTTGTTGATTCTTCTATTCTATTGTCGAGGAGATTGTTTCAGGTCAAACAAAGACCTATTCAGCTTGCACACATAATATTCCTTTCCGTTTTTTGCATACCCTTCAGGTTTCCTCATCAGGATCATTTCATCTAGATCATTATACAAGAAGGTTGTCTTTACATCCATCTATTCAAGTTCTAGTTCGAACTTTGCCACCATAGCAAGCAACATTTGAATGGATCAATGCTTTACAACAGATGAGAACACATCATTGAAGTCAACACCTTCTTTCTGAGTGAACCGTCTATCAACCAATGTTTCCTTAAATTTCTTCGACATCACTCATTTGATTCCTTCCTTAACCTTGAAGATCCAATTATAGATGACTAACCTGGCCCCTGTAGGTTTCTCGATCAGCTTCTAAGTGGTACTATCATGAAGATGTTTCATCTCATCATCCGTGGCTTTTATCCATTCAGTCTTATTTCGACTCCTCACGGATTCCTTGTAGTATTTAGGTTCTTTATCCAGAACCTCACTTGTAGAAACTAAGGCGAATGCTACGAGATATGCATAACTAAGCCTTTGAGGTGGCTTGATGACTCTTCTCGGCCTGTCTCTTGCCAGCAGGTAGTCATTATCAGTCTCCTCATCTTCGATAGCAATTTTTGTTTCTTCTTTTACTTCATTTAGGTAATATAATTTAGAATCACTATGATTCACCTTAACAAGAATCTCTTCCTGTTCTAGCTCTTCTTCAGAGATCTTCAAACTTCAACCAATGTCATCATTTTTCTTGAAAGACATCTCACCTTCATTGAAAATTACATCTCGACTTGTGATACACCTCCTGTGAACTGGCTCTAGGAACCATGACCTATAAGCTTTGACTTCTTCAGTGTATCCAAGGAACATACATCTCAGAGCTCTAGGTTCGACCTTCTCTTGCCTAATGTGAGCATATGCTAAGCAACTAACTACTATAAGTTTGTCGAGACTAGGTGGATGTCTTGACCAGACTTCTTTAAATGTCTTTATTCCCAAGGTTGTTGAAAGACACCTATTTATCAAGTATGCTACAATCACAACATCTTATACCCAAAACACCTTCTTCAATCCTGCACTTATCAACATGCACCTCACCCTTTCCAAAATGGTTCGATTAAACCTTTCAGCCAAACCATTTTGTTGGGGAGTACTAGTAGTTTTGTGCCTTGCAATACCAAACACAACACAATAGTTGTCAAAAGTCTCAATGCAAAATTCAAGACCATTGTTGGTCCTCAATCTCTTGCCCTTCCTGACAGTTTGGTTTTCAACCAGAGTCTTCCAACTTTTGAAATTTTCAAAAGTTTCATCATTAGTCTTCTGAAGAATATCCAAAACTTTTTGGAGTAATTAACAACTATGGATAGAAAATACTTTTCCCCTGAGTGTGAAGGATTCTTTGCAGGTCCCCAAAGATCAGCATGACTGTAATCAAAAGATCCACATGTTCTTTGTTTACCTTTGTTAAACTTCATTATACAGGATTTACCAAATACATAAGGTTCACAGACTTCTAGTTTTTCGACCTTGTCACCACCTAGTAGATTTTGTTTAGAGAATTCGACCAGGACTCTTTCACAGACATGGCCAAGTCTCTTGTGCCATAACTCAGTCCTCGACATAGGTTTCGTGGATGCCACATCTGCTGAAACACTTACAACCACAACCTCAAAGGTATATAAGCCTTGTTTCTTCACGTCTCTCAAGACTTCCTTCGACCTCTTCATTACCCTTAGGATGCTTTGCTATCCTTTAAAAACATATCCTTTCTTATCGAATTCACCGAGAGAAATCAAATTCCTCTTAAGATTATGTACATGTCTAACATCAATGAATAGCCTTATTGACTCATCATGGAGCTTGAATCTCACAAATCAAATACCTTCAATTTTGCAAGCTTTGTTGTTTCCTAGAAGCATTGATCCACCATCTTGAATACACAATTTCTCGAACACATATTTGTTTGGAGTCATGTGCCAAGTACACCTTGAATCCATAATTCACTCCTTGCTAGAGTAACTGCTTGAAACCACTAGAACATCAGATGACTCATAACCATCTTCCACAATTGCAGCATTACCATTATCTTTTCCACCATGATTGTTCACTCAATCAGGTCATACATTTCTTGTATGACCCTCATTCTTACAATGATAACACTTGATAGTAGAAGCATTACCATCATAAGAATTCTATAGAAATTTACTCTTCTTCTTCTCAAACCTACCATTTTTCTTCAAGAATTTCCCCTTAACGGACAAACTTTCACCGATGATTGATGGCTTTTGCTCCTTCTGTTCGTTCAAATCCTTAGAGTACAAGACAGATTAAACATCTTTAAAGGTCAATGACTCTCTTCCATACAAGAGAATTTCTTTAAAATGAGTATGAGACTTAGATAAATAGCACAACAATAGCAATGTTTGATCTTCATCATCAATCTTGACCTCGATATTCTCAAGATCAAGAATCAACTTGTTGAACATATCCAGCTGCTCAGCTAAGGCTTTATCTTCACTCATCTTGAATGAATACAAAGCTTGCTTCAGGTAGAGACGATTAACCAACGATTTCATCATGTACAAACCTTCAAGTTTCGTCCACACACCATCTGCAGTTTTCTCCTTTGAAACCTGATGGAGAACCTTATCGCCAAGGCCCAATACAATGGCGCTGTGAGCTTTTTCGACCATTGTTGCCTTCTCCTTCTCTGATAGGGCAGCGTCCATCTTCACCAATTCTTCAATGCTTCTAACAAACCCTGTTGAATAAGAAGGACTTGCATCTTCAAGCGCCACAAACCGAAATCATTCAAATTGGTGAATTTCTTAATCTCATACTTTGTTGACGACATATTCTCCTCCACGCTCACCGCACCATTTTGTTGTGAAACGATGTCGTCAACATTAGAACAAAGTTATGAGATAAAGATAGAGTTTCTTGAACAAATACAAGAAACCGTATTAGATTTTACGAAAGAGAGAGAAGAACGAAGAATAAGAATAAAAATTATTTTACTATTCACTTTTTCATTAATGGTTAAAGATTACAAGTGAATACCAACTATTAACCTCTCTCAACAACATGATAGAACTAGTCTATTTATAAACTATTAAGTTAACTCAAACTACAAGCTAACTTAACAATTGAACTTGAAAGCAATGTCTAATTCGACATGTTAACTTAAACATAAAGCTAACATGTTTTGACACCATGGTTGAACAGACTTCGACTATAACATGCATAACTTCTGCAAACCATAAAGTTATTTTTGTTAAAACTAGAGTTCGATCCAAATATCATATTATATTTTACGGTCCTCAATAATTTAATCCTTTTAATTTTTGTTGTGTTTCTTTCCCATTTAATTTACATTTACTGCAGAGTTTAACTCCAGAATCATAGGATTAACTAGACCAGTTAAAACTATTAGGCATGCGGCAGAAGAATATCTTATTGACCGTTCTTATAACTTGTAAGCCATTATTCTGCTCTCATGCATTTCCTTTTGATGTTTTATATGATTACGCTTAATATAGATATAAGCGGTGTGAAAACAATCAGATTTTTGTTGAACCTTGACACGGAGGTTGTGAGATTCTTTGGAGTCGAGTATAATGTTGAGCAGTTACCAGAAGCAATATGGAAAGAGCTTTAGCATAGAAATTTTGTGCTTAAAGGCACTACTGTTCTAAGGGCAAACATTTGCATAAAAAGAATCCATGAAATGCCACAAAAGAGTATTCAATTCAGAATACTTGTGATTTGTGAATTATACAACAATTTCAACATTTAAAGCTTCGCAACAGAAAAATTGTTGATGATGAGACAAATTATTCACAGAAGAAAAATTATTACATGTAACAACTAGCCACACCCATCTTCTTTTGTTTGTTTTCCTACTAAACTGAATTATTGTACAGCTTTGCTCGCATTTGGTTCTTGGGTAATATACAGAGGACGTATTCCACACTCTTTCACAGTGACATTTAAACGATAATCTGAGAGCCAAGAATTACCTAGCATCTCAAAAGTGATGTTTTGGACATGAATGAGGTTTTTGCCAATCCTTGTTCGGTTTAATCGATATTTCCATAGATATGTGTGATCTCGGATAAACCGACCTTCATGCTTACATTTCAATTTGTTCTGAAAAAGATATCGTTTACCATTGGATTTAAAGCTTAAGTTGTATGGAATGCTACTACCTACTATTCTTGACTCATACATATCTTCACCTCCCAAAACAACACAGAGAGCGAAACCAACGAGCCTGTTTTCACTGCACGCATATTCATCATTGTTTTTCACAGTTACTGAATGTCCCTGGCCACGATGAAGGAAGCAATCCGGAACTCTACTCCCTGGAAAACAGATTAGCGCTGACAGACATGCATCATCAGTGATCTTAATCCATGCTTTGTTTACGATATAACTCCAAGAATATGAGTCTAAATCATCACTGTTGGTGAGGCGAAATTCATAGGAACCATCCATTTCGTCGTTGGAATCAGACAACAATGAATTTGGCACCATTTTCTTAATGGACGTGCAATCAAATGCCAACAACTCTTTTAGCCACGGAGGAAGCTTTGGAATACATTCAAGGCTTTTGCAATCACTTAAATTAAGTGATTTCAAACTCGAGAGATGAATCATACTCTCAGGAAGATTCACAATATTGCTTCCTTGCAGTGAAATTTGAGTCACGGATGACAAGTGACCAATGTCACGTGGGATATCTGGAAAGGTCCTGAGCATTGAGCAACCGTAAAAATTAAGTTCTGTCAACTTCAATTTGAAAATGCTGCTTGGAAAAGTTTCAAGCGATTCACATTCGCAAAGTTGTAATTTGAGGAGTTTGCTGAGATTTCCAATGGAAGATGGAATAGTCTTAAGCTTTCTGCAACCTTGCAAGCTTAATTCTTCAAGCCCGACCAAGTGATGCAACGACGAAGGTAGTTCTTTAATCGCTGTATTGTCTAAGCTGAGCACTTTTAAATTTTCCATAGTGTCCTCAATTTCAGGTAACTCTTCCAACTTTAAACAATGGTCGAGACGAAGCATTGTTTGAAACTTCAAATTTAAGAGTTCAGCTGGTAGGCTTGTTAGAGACTCACATTCCGAAAGATCTAACCAAGAAGATTCTGAAGAATCATACGGATGCTGAAACCCGTAGCCTCCCTCAAATTTTGACAGTATTACGGTTTCAACCAAATCTGTTGTACTGGTGATTGAAATTGTTTCAAGGTTGTGACAACCCTCGAGAGCAAGAAATCCAGTTGATCTTGATAGAATATTGCTACGAATACTTAAACTCTTGAGTGATGTACAACCATCTAAACATAAGCAGTTAAGCTTGTGGAGGAAGTTAGAGGAGTAAACTTTTTCCAAACTTACACAGCCAGTAAGAATTATTTCTTCAATATTTGGAAACAAAGATAGATCTGGTACTCCAATAATCTTCTTAGAATATTCAAGGTCAAGTCTCTTCAAATTTGGTATAGTCTAGAAAGAAAGAAAAAAACAGAAAAAGAAATTTGGTATAGTCTTAAAATATAATTCAAAGACACACAATATAAAATTTAAAACAAAATACCTGATCTCTCTCCCAAAGTTGTTCAAGATTGCTATAAGGCATATCAAGTGTAACAAGATTATCCGTGCAAAAGTCTTGCGGCAAAGATCTTTGAGGAAAATAATCCCAATTGAGAAACTTTAAATTATTCGGGAAACTATTAAGAAATGTATGAAAGGTCACATTGGAGTAATTTTGAAACGCATCAAATTGGATCATTCTGAGATTATGCATTTTCTTAAAAGTTTTAGCATGTAATTCAACCTTCTTTATTTCGCTTACGTCCAATATTATACTTTGAATTGCATCTGTTCCTTGTCCCTAAACATCAACAATGAGAATTATTAGGGATAAATAAACATGTGTAAAATAAAACTCAGGAGAGATAGAGAATGAGTTATAAAGTTAGATTTGAAGGGCTAAAAAACATACCTTATTCTTTTTTAAAACATTATATATATCATCAGGTTTATGTAATCGACTACGTTTTTCTGGATTATTGACATTTTCTTGTCGCACAATTTCATGTCCCATTTCTTGTATTCGATCATGCATCCAAACCCTACCTTCTGAAATAGATATAAGACACCTATCTTGAAGAACGTCCATTCCAATACGAGTAGAAAAACCAAAACAATCCAATGTTTGAACTACACATTTCTCGGTTTCTCCTCTATATAAACAAGCTATGTCAAGAAATATTTCCTTTTCTTCGTTGTCAAGTCCATCATAACTCAATTTTAACACATTGAAAATTTTAGGCTCGGGATTCTTTTCAAGCTTTTGCAACTGACTTTCCCATGCTTCCTTTGTTCTATACTGAAGAAATAAGCCCAAAACTTTAAGAGCTAATGGAACTCCTTTCGCATAACCTAATACCTTTTTCGTTAAACTCACATACATTTCTATTGGTTCTTTTTGTTTAAAGGCATTCAAACAGAAGAGTTGTAGAGAATCTTTATCATCCATCTCAACTACGTGATATATTTCATCAACATTGGAATTCTTAAGCACTTGTTTGTCTCTACTAGTCACAATGATTCTACTTCCGGGGCCAAAATTACTACATGTTCCGATTAAATCAATAAGTTGATCAGAATCTTTCACATCATCAAAAACAAGAAGAACCTTTCTCTGTTTGAGCCTCGGATCAAATGAAATATTGGATTTGGAGGAAGTAATATCTTGTTGAACTAGAAGGTGTGATAAGTATTTGCTTTTTACATGTTCTACTCTATATAGTTTTATTTCCTGTTGAACATTTTTAACTATGCCTGTAAAACTAAAATGAGTTGCGAGTTTTTCATAGATTGCACTTGCAATTTCAGTTTTGCCTATCCCTCCCATACCCCAAATTCCTATAATACGAACAGTCGATGACTCGAGGTGCAACAAAGTTTGAATTTTTTCAATATGCTTGTCCATTCCAATCTTTCTTTCGTGATCATTTAAGACACAACTACTCAATTTTTTCCTAATATCTTTCACAATCTCTTCAACAAGTTTGCTATTTGGCCTGGAAAATAATGCAAAAAATTAAAACATTATTTTCATCTTCATAAAAACTAAATGAAAAAAAAAAACTTGAGTATGAATCCGAACACAGTTTCACAGTCAACCGATACTAGGATGTAACAAACAAAATTTTAATAAGAAAGGACATCAGATATATTCACATATACTAGTGAGATTTAAGGATTCTTCATAAAACTTTAAAAATTAAAGTTTTTTTAACTTGAAAATAATATATATATATATATATATATATATATATATATATATATATATATATATATATATATATATATATATATATATATATATATATATATATATATATATATATATATATATATATATATATATATATATATATATATATATATATATATATATATATATATATATATATATATATATATATATATATATATATATATATATATATATATTTTAGATCAAACTCTAGTATGATTGAAGGTAAGTTTTTGGTTCGACAGTTCGACAGATGTTTAGCATACAGTCGAAGACCGTTCACATGCTATTGTCGAAGTGTTACATATGTAGTTGAGATCAGTTCTAATATTTAATTGTAATTTTGAATTGGACCTTGTGTTAAGGATGCAATTGTTTAAGTTAGCTTGTAATGGATAATTGTTAAAAAGCCTATTAGTTTAGTATGTTAGGTTTTATTATAAATAGCATACTAGTCTCTCATCTTAAGGGTGGCAAATTCTAATTAAGGTGAGATAGTTATTTGTTAATCTTAAGTACTTGTAATCTGATTTAACGAGAAAGTAAAAAATAACAGTTATAACGAATCCTTGTTGTTCTTCTTCTTTTACAATCTTTTCTATCCTTGTGTGTTTCTTGCCGATAAAGAAACCTTTTATTCCTTGTTTCAAGGCATTGTTTTTCACAACAAATTGGTGGGGTGAGCGTGGATAAGATGCGCTCAACAAAGTATGAGATTGAAAAGTTCACTGAAGTGAACAACTTCGGTCTGTGGCGCTTGAAGATGAAAGCCCTACTGGTTCAACAAGGTTGTTTGGAAGCGTTGAAGGGAGAGGCAGCCATGAACGCTGCATTAACGAAAACTGAAAAGATAGCCATGATAGAGAAAGCTCACATCACAATATTTTCGAGCCTTGGTGATAAGGTTCTCCGAAAGATATCAAAGGAGACTACAACATCAGGGTTATGGTTGAAACTTGAAAGTTTGTACATGATCAAACCTCTGGTGAATCGACTCTACCTGAAGCAAGCTTTGTGTTCATTCAAGATGAGTGAAGACAAAGTGTTGGCTGAGCAGTTGGATATGTTCAACAAGCTGATTCTTGATCTTGAAAATATTGATGTGAAGATCGATGATGAAGATCAAGCAATGTTGTTGTTATGCGCTTTGCCCATAACACATGCTCACTTCAAAGAAACTCTCATGTATGAAAGGGAGTCCTGAGCTTTAAAGAAGTTCAATCAATCTTGTATTCTAAGGTCTTGAACAAACGAAAGGAGCATAAAACTTCGACGGTTGGTGAAGGTTTGGCCGTTAGGGGAAAATTCTTGCGAAAGGATGGTAAGTTTGACAAGAAGAAAGGTAAAAGTCAGCAAAAGTCTTATAGTGGCGAGGCATCTAGTATTAGTTGCTATCACTGTAAGAATGAGGGTCACACAATAAAGGTGTGCCATTAACGCCTGAAAGATCATGAAGGTAAGGTTAATGGCAACGCAACCATTATTCAATATGACTTCGACTCATCTGATGTTCTTGTGGTTTCAAGCAGCGACCCAAGAAAAGTGTGGATTATGGATTCAGATTGCACTTGGCACATGACTCAAAACAGAGAATTGTTCGAGGAGCTATGTGATCAAGATGGTGGATCAGTGCTGCTGGGAAACAACAAAGCTTGCAAAATTGCAGGTATTAGATCTGTGAGATTCAAGCTCCATGATGAGTCAATAAGGTTATTGACTGAAGTCAGGTATGTACCTGATTTAAAGAGAAATTTGATTTCTCTTGCTGAATTCGAAAAGAAGGGATATGTTTTGCAAGGAGAGAAAAGTATCCTAAGAGTCATGAAGGGGTCGAAGGAAGTTTGGAGAGGCGTGAATAAATAAGACTTGTATACCCTTGAGGCTGAAGTTGTAAGTGGTTCGACAAATGTTGCATCCACGAAACCTTTGTCGAAGACAAAAATTTGGCACATGAGACAAAGTCGAAAAGCTGAACTTTTGTGAACACTGTGTACTTGGAAAAAATTGTAGAGTGAAGTTCAACAAAGGCAAACAAAGAACACATTGATCCCTTGATTACATCCATGTTGATCTTTGGGGGCCTGTAAGGTGTCCATCACATTCAGGAGCAAGGTATTTTCTATCCATAGTTGATGATTATTCCAGAAAGATATGGGCATTCATCCAGAAGAATAAGGATGAAAACTTTTGAGAATTTCAAAGGTTGGAAGACTCTGGTCGAAAATCAGCTGGTAGAAAGGTCAAGAGGTTGAAAATCGACAATGGCCTTAAATTTTGCAATGAGGCATTTGACAGATTTTGTGGTGCCTCAGGTATTGCAAGGCATAAAACCACTACAGGTACTCCACAACAAAATGGTTTGGCGGAAAGGTTTAATCAAACTATTTTGAAAAGAGTTAGACGCATGTTTACTAGTGTTGGGTTAAAGAAGGTGTTTTGGGCTGAGGCTTTTTCGACAATAATATATTTGATAAACAAATGTTTTTTCGATTGCGTTAGATATGAAGACACCTGAAGAAGTTAGGTCGGGACATCCACCAGATCTCGACAAATTGAGAGTATTTGGCTACGTGGCCTATGCTCACATTAGGCAAAACAAGGTCGAACCTAAAGCTCTGAAATGCATGTTCATGGGATACCCTGAAGGAGTCAAAGATTATTGGCTATGGTGCCTAGAGCCAGGTCACAGAAGGTGTATCACCAGTCAAGATGTAGTTTTTAATGAAGCTGAGATAGCCTTCAAGAAAAATGATAATGGTGACGAAGAGCTGGAATAGAGAGACATTCTTGTTGAGGTAGAACATCTTGATGCTGAATTGCGCATCCCAGATGAAGTCGAAGAAGAAGCAGAAGATATTGAGGAAGTTGAGGAAGCTGTCGATGACTACCTATTGTCCAGAGACAGGTCAAGGTGAGTCATCAAGCCACCTCTGAGACTTGGGTATGCAGATCTTATAGCTTATGCCTTAATCTCTACAAGTGAGGTTCTAGACGAAGAACCTAGAGACTATAAGGAAGCTATAAGGAGTCGAAATAAAACTGAATGGATGAAGGCCATGTATGATGAAATGAAATCTCTTCATGATAAAAACACCTCAGAATTGATCGAGAAACCTGCTGGAGGCCGGTTAGTCAGCTGTAAGTGGATTTTCAAAGTTAAGAAAGGAACTGGTTGAGTGTCATCCAAGAGATACAAGGAAAGATTAGTCGCTAGGGGTTTCACTCAGAAAGAAGGTGCCGAATTCAATGATGTCTTCTATCATCTTGTGAAGCACATATCCATTCGAATGTTGCTTGCCACGATGACACAGTTTGACCTTGAACTAAAATAGATGGATGTGAAAACTGTATTCTTCTATGGTGATCTAGATGAAATAATCCTGATGAGGCAACCTGAAGGGTATGTCGAAAGGGGGAAGGAATATTATGTGTGCAAGCTGAAAAGATCTTTATATGGACTGAAAAATCTCCTCGGCAGTGGAATAGGAGATTCGATAAGTTCATGACACGCATAAGTTTCATTAGAAGTCAATTCGTCCACTGTGTTTACTTCAGATTTCGACCTGCTAATTCATTTGTTATTTTGTTTCTTTATGTGGGTGATATTCAAATAGCAAGCAACAATGTCGAAGATGTAATGAGGGTGAAGGTTGAACTCAATAAGGAGTTCGACGAGAAGGATCTAGGAGTTGCGTCCAGGATTCTTGGGATTGACATCCAAAGAGATAGAAAGCAGTCGAAATTATGCTTATCTCAAGAGGCATACCTACGGAAGATTCTCGAAAATTTTGTTATGTCGAATTCAAAGCCTGTTGTGAATCTGACAAACACTCAATTCAAGCTGAGTATAGATCAGTGTCCTAGTACTGATGTCGAAAGACCTTATATGAATAACATTCTATATGCTAATATAGTGGGTTCTTTGATGTATCTCATGGTTTGTACTAAACCCGACATAACTTATGCAGTAAGTCTTGTAAGCAGATACATGGATAATCTTGGAAAGGCTCACTGGCAAGCATTGAAGTGGATCCTAAGGTACATAAATAGATCTCTGAACAGATTCCTAATTTATGGTGGAGCCTTGGGTGAAGATAGTAAAGCAACAATCGAAGGATATGTCGACCTTGATTATGCAGGTTGTATGGATTCTAGAAAATCTATTTTTGGATATGTGTTCACTATGTTTGAAACAACAATCAGTTGGAAAGCAACACTTCAGAAGGTTGTTGCCTTATCAAGCACTGAAGCGGAATATATCGCTCTAACTAAAGCTGTGAAGGAAGCATTATAGCTTGAACTTTTTGCAAAGGAACTGAAACTTCAAGGTCGGCTTATCACTATTAAATGTGATACTCAAAGTGCAATACACATGTTAAAGAATTCAGCCTATCATGAGCAAACCAAGCACATCGATGTGAGATTGTATTTCGTCAGAAGGGTAATCGAGCATGGAGAAGTCCAAGTGTTAAAGGTTTCGATAAATCATAATGCTGCTAATATGATCACCAAGACATTGCTCAGTTGCAAGTTTTTTCACTGTATGTAGTTGATAAAGCTACATGAAGAAAGCTACTTTGTTCCTTGATGTTATAGAGTTTGTCCCAATGTGGAGATTTGTGAGAAATTGGATCAAAATCTAGTATGATCGAAGGTAGATTCTTGGTTCGACAGTTCGACAGATGTTTAACATGTAGTCGAATGTCGTTCACATGCTGTTGTCGAAGTGTTACATATTGTTGTCGAAGTAAGTTCTAATATATAATTGTAATGTCGAATTGAGTCTTGTGTTAAGGATTCAATTGTTTAAGTTAGCCTGTACTATAAGTAATCTTGTAATGGATAATTGTTATAAATCCCATTAGTTTAGTATGTTAGGTTTTATTATAAATAACATATTAGTCTGTCATCTTAAGGGTGACAAATTCTAATTAGGGTGAGAGGGTTATTTGTTATTCTTAAGTACTTGCACTATAAGAAAACTTTGATTTTGCCTAGTGATTTAGTGACGTGGTAAACACGTGGGGAAAAAAATAGGTTGCAACGTGTAAACCACGACACTGCCATATTTAATTAATATATCCTGTAAATCTAAAATCTGCAACGAAAAATTTGAATTTTAAGAGGGAGGAAAATTTGAATTTTTCAAAAATTTAGTTGTGGGGTGTTAAACACATGGGAACAAAAAATTCAAAAAAGTCTTTGTATTTGCGACGTGGGGAACATGTCACAAACTACCCACATGGGATACACGTTGCAAGTTTATAAATAATAAAGGTGGTTGGCTTTTACTTTTACTTTTCAGACACATTAATGATGAAATTGACTGTCACAGAGTTTCCATGTGAATCCCACGTCGCAAATGGGACACATAAATGTTTTAAACTTTATTTTTCTACCGTTGCTTTGACCTTTAATAATGCAACGTTAATATATTAAATGCTGAGAAAGTTCCGACGTGTATCTCACGTGGCAACTTTCCCAAGGGGCATTCACGTCGCAAATGAGCAAGCCTTTAATGGGTTCCGACGTGATTTTCACGTGGGTACGTTCCCATGTGTCTACCACATCGCAAGTGTGACTATATATTAAAAACCCACAATTTTTTTCACGCATCCTCATTTCTTCTTTCTTTTCCTTCTTTCTTTCCTTTCCTCTTTCTCTTTCTGCTTGTTACTCCTCCATTTTAGAACGAAAGCTACACAAAAAATTTGAGGTAAATGATATTTTCCTTGTTTTTGTTTTACAGTTTATTTTAATTTTTTCTTATTATTAATTATTGATTTTTTTTTCTAGATCTAAGATTAAGAAGTTACTCCATTGAAGCTTTAGGAATTTACTCCATTGAGGTATTTACACAATTATATAAATTTATTTATTTTTCAGATTTATAGTGATATATGAAATGTTTGGTTATTGATTATAAAACTTTAGATTTGTTGTTGTTAGTGTATGTAAATATATATTATTGTTGTTGTTGAAAGATAAACTTAAAAATATTAGAAGATATATTATATTAGAAACAAAATATATATTTTTAGAATTAAAAACAGAATATATATTAGAAAAATATGTAATAGAATATATATTAGAAACAAAATATGTAATGTTGTATTTAAATATGTATTTAATTTTTAAAAACAGAATATATATTATATTAGAAAAAGTAGAATTTTTAAAAATATTTTTAGTAAACAAAATTGTAAATAGAAAAAATTAAAATGTATTTTTTTAAAAACATAATGAATATGTATTATATTTAAAATGTTGTATTTAAATATGTATTATTTTTTATGTTTGTGACGTGAATTTTATGTGACTATATATATATTTTTTTAATGTATATATTAAAAAAATTAAATAATTTAATTGAAAATTATTTAAATTTTTAATTTTATTATTTGTTAATTCGTTGTTTTTAGTTAATATATATATTTTTTTAATTATTAAATTTTATAGTGAAGTGTAAACCATGTCATTAATATAAACCATATTTTCAGTTGTGGCATGCAAACCACGTCACTAATTAGTGACATGGGAAACTAATGAGAACATTTTCATTGGTGCTAGATATAACGTGCAGAAGCCATATTGGGAAATGTGATTTTCCACGTGAAAACCAAGTCACTAATTAGTGACGTGATATTCACGTGGGAACATTTTCTATTATTTTGGTTATTTGCGACGTGAATCCCATGTCACAACTTAGTGATATGTTTTTCACGCGGGAAAATGTTCCCACCATTGCTTTTCCAATGTGTTTTACCCACGTCGCAAATTTTGCTTAGTGAAGTGTTTTTTAGATTAGTGACGTGAAAATTATTTGGGAAAACACAACGTTTCTTGTAGTGTTGTAATCTAATTTAAAGAGAAAATAAAGAATGACAGTTATAACCAATACTTGTTATTCTTCTTGTTTTTCTATTAACCCTAACTTTTGTGTGTTTCTTGTCAATAAAGAAACCTTTTATACCTAATTTCAAGGCATCGTTTTTCAATATATATATATATATATGTTATGATTTAATTTTTTTAAATAAAAATTATATAAAATTAAATATAAAATATTATTATTATTATTTGAAGTAAAAAAATCTGCACTCTGAGTTAGGTCCCAACTCTATCCATAGAATTAATGTTGTATTTCAGAGTCACCTTTCAAGGATTATTATGTTGATTTATGTGCTTGCAACTATGAAGTTGATGATCTATTGATAGCCTTCCTAATGTTTTGGTGATGACATTAATCATTGCTGAAGTCGGTAAAATCAGTGATAATGTCTCTGAGGATGGTGTCAGAATTTAAGAACATGTCAAGCCTCATATGGTAGGAAATCCAAAGAGGCCTCAAAGTTATGAAAGAGAGGAAATGTGAAAATCCTACTGAACTTTTTGGTTAGATCATGATTGCTAATTAAAAAGTTGATTCTCCTTATTTAAAGACTCAAATCTTGAAATTTTAAGTGCGCAATTTTTTCTCTTTCTATCGAGTCTTTGTATTTTGGTTGTAATACTCTATTCTTGAGTGTCTTTTTTAATTTAGAAGGGTATAGTATTTGGCTGTAATTGTGATTATATGATAACTCTCTTGAAATCACTTGAGAGGGAATGAGTGAAAGTGAGAGCTCTCAAATTTAAAAGGAGTTTAGGTTTCAGATTGTCTTAATATTGTATCTGACATCTTGTCGTTGATTGAACAAATTTTTTACACAATAATATATACAATTTAAAATAGATTTGAAAAAATTTATTCATTGAAGATACTCTAAGTTCTTATATATTAACTCGAGGTTTAACTTAAACAATGTAGGTGTGAATCAATTTATGAACCTTATAAACTATAAGTTGTTGATAAATTACTAATTAATAGGTTAATGTTAATTTGTGTCTTAAGAGTATAATTAAAAAAAATTAAAAATAGAATATTTCTTTTCAAAATCGTGTATTTTTTTTTTAATTTAACTATTATATTACTTATTAATAAATCTTTAATTTTTGATATATATATATATATATATATATATATATATATATATATATATATATATATATATATATATATATATATATATATATATATATATATATATATATTATTTTTTTTTTCTTTTTTTTTTGAGTCAATGATTTTTAGATTTTTAATCTAAGCTCTTATAAAACAAATTAAGAGTACCTAATAAATGTAAATAAATTCGTGACCTGATTTTTTGTGAATCCCAGCCAGAGAGATTAGCTACTTGGGTTAGAGCGTCCTTCCATGCATCCACTTTGTCGCCAAATCGCAGATGATGTTTAACAAAATCATCTGCATAACTCTGTCTTTGATGTCTAACATTTGACGGATCCACCTTGTAGAAGACAGGTATTACTTCCCTTCCATATCTCTGCTTACATTCGAGAATCTTTGTGAGTTCATCTAAGCACCAAATGGAAGAAGCATAGTGTTGTGACAAAATGACCACATAAATCGCTGATTCTTCTATTGCCTTACATAATGCTGAGGAAATCTCTTCGCCCCTGCCCAGTCTATCATCTATGAATGTTTCAATATTTTGCCTACACAATTCTGCATGAAGATGACTCGTGAAGGTTTCGCGAGTGTCCTCTCCTCTAAAGCTGAGAAACACATCATAGTTTGGATGAGACATAATCGCAGTAACACTATAGCAGAGTTATTGGTTTTATTGGTGTGTGTCTCTTTTTCCTTTATCAAGAACAATTATTTATAAAGACTTGAACATATCTGAAACTTACATGTCTTTTCTACTTGACTTTGAATCAGCTACAGTAAGTCATAGATGGCGGCTATATAATATATTTTTAAGAAGTAATAAATGTATATCATTTCATTTAAAATTAAATAATACTATATTGATGCACCATCATTATTTTAATGTAACAGCTAATACACTCATTTTCTATGTTAGAGTTGGCTTCCACCCTCATTCCGTTTACTTTATTATTATTATTTTTTATTTTTTGTTATAATATTCTATTATGAAACTCTATTAGAAAAATATCAATCTCTCATTTTTCTTCACGCTGTCGCCATGCTTTATCAAATTTCTCTTGTTCTCTCTCCTTTTCAACACTGCTAACAATGCTCTATTAACTCCCACTAATTTCTTTCTTTATGCTATAAAGAAGTTGAAGCGTTTACTAGAAATATCAACCAAATAAAATTAAAATTAAAGTAAGAAGAATATTACTATCCTGTTTTGGCGTCTTCCCTTCTCCTCTTTTCTCCTCTTCATTTTCTTTCTAATTTAAATCTTTTACATTTTTGTTTTCGATATTAATTTGTTAGCAGATGGTTCATATAGATCTGAAATTGATAATACTAATCTTTCATTTTTTATATTCTAAAACTAGGTTTTTTCTATGGTATTTGTTTCAAAATTTTGATTGTTTATTTGAGATGGTAATTATTCGCACAAATCCATCCGAAAATCCGCTACCCAATAATAATATAACCGTATAAACCGAATAGAAAAACTGGTAGAAATAGGCTTTTATATCCAATCCGCAGTTTGAGTCGGATAGACATTTTGAGTTTGAATTCATAGACATTTTGAATCCGAACCCGCCCAATGTCCACCCTTAAATGTGATTATTCTTTGTTTAGGCCAATAAAGTTTAAAAGTCTAATTTACAATATAATAACATTGTTCAACTTTTCTTGATATCTACTACTGTTTCTAGTCTTCATAATAAAATAAAAATGAAAAACATCAAAATCAAAAGGGTTATTGTTTTGGACTAATCAACTATCAACAATTACCAACTATTCCATTTATGATCAATTTTATTCTCTAATTGTCAGATCACATCTGTACACAAATACAGAAGTATCACAACATTTGATCTCAATCCAACGGTCACCATGCTCTACGTTAGTTATCCAGGAGACGGCTACAACAACTTTTCTTTTATAAGTGTGATCCAGAGTCACACAAAGTTACAATTCAACTTATACTTACAACGTTTTATCTTAATCTCATACTAACTTAAACATCATAGTACTATATTTTTTACATGTACCATCTCTAGTCATCGTATCACGGTAGTCTTCATTAACATACTAATCATTTTCTATTCTAGTATAGAATAGTGGTGGTCTTTCTATTAGTCATCATCCAAGGGAGCATTCCTCTCCCCACCGTCCATGAAGGAAACACAAGTAGGACTCTCTTGAAGAGTCTATCATGTCGTCAACAGAACCTGTTCAAAAAATGAGACACTTAATGCGTCATCCCTAAGTATTTGGAGAAACTCTCAAAGGTGGAGATTTATGACAGTAATAGAGACCTCCCCGAGTACTGCGCGCACATGGACACAATTTTAGTTACCATCAAGATTGGACGAGGTAAAGTGCAAAATTTTTATTCTCACATTTAATAGAGTCGTTGTGACTTGGTTTAAGGGTCTCAAAGATAACTCCATCATCTCTTGCAGAATGATATGTAAAGAATTCACGTCACACTTCACCTCTAGAAAATGTAAATTGAAGACAGTGGTCCTAATTAACATTGTTTTGCCTAGGAAAAAAGAAACATGAAGATAGTACATTCACGGGTTCACTAGGGAAGTTATAGAAGTTAGAGGGGCTAATAAAAAATTGAAATGATGGATCTTCGAGAAAGGCTTGAATCCATATTTCATGTTTAGAGAGAAGTTGGAGTTGGAAGAGCCAAAAAGCATGAGTGGATTAGTTTTTGGGCTTAACCATACATCAACTACAAAGAGAAGTTAGTAGCCAAATAAATCGAGAAGAACAATACATCTAGATAATTGGAGACAAAAAGTTTTGTGAAGAAAAGAACAAGGAACCCTGATCCTGGTTCTTAGAGAACACCCATTCAAATACGTCTAGAGAAAGAATTATGCAAGAGTTTTCTAGTACATACTTTAAAGAATACGAGGTGAAATATCCTAAAGTCGTGAAGGACTGCCTTTACCTAAAGTCAATGGAATATGGTTCAAGTTATTAAGTTGAAAACTTGAATCAAGAAACTCGTGAAAGCATAGTTTAAGTCATACAAATTCTCTATTCAACCATGAACGTTTTGTATTTCACAACATTTCAATTCTTTAAGCATGATTCAAATCAAGAAAATAGATGACTTGAGTCATAACATGACTGAGAAAATCGTGACTTGCCTCTGCCACTTTGATTCAAATCACAGGAAAACATGATTCCAATCATGAAGGTTCTTCCTTCGAATGTCATGAAAGCCTGATTGCAATCATAGTTGAGGCTCACAACTTTAAGTTCATCTTGAAGTTGAATTTCCTTAATACATTCAAGGGGAGAACCCAAATACCGTTTTGTTGCTTGTCTTATTGATTTCATTTTGTTTTATATTGTTTATTGAGTCTCCTTCATAATTGCACATCTTTGAATCAAGTTGTAGATCTATTCATTTTTTTTATCATGCATACAACTATTTGTATTTGAGTTTGGTCATGATGCTTTAAGTCAATTGCTTGAATTTGTGGAACAAGAACCATATGTGTTATTGGTTCAAGTTAGGTAGAAAGGAAAATCTCAAAGTATTTTGAAAACTATGAAAAATTGAGATTGTATATGGCTCAAATCATGTACGTATCCTGACTCAAATCAAATTGAAGAGGGGAAAAAAGAAGTTGTTAAACATCTGTGACTCGAATCATAGTTTAAACTTGATTCAAATTAGGCAGCTTTGTGACTCAAATCACAAGTTACACTTAATTCGAATCAGACATATCATCCACTGTCTCATTTGATTTGAATCACACTTTCTACTTGACTCGAATCACACTTTCTACTTGACTCGAATCACACTATTTTTTCCATATTTTTTCAGTTTGGCTCTGCCAAATTGACTCGAATCAAGCTTTATGCTTGACTAAAACCATGAACCTTCATGACTAAAATCAAATATATAAGGTGACTCGAATCACATGAAAATGGGTTAATTCTTTTTGTTTATCTTATTTCACTTTACTTGCTCATTTGACTCAAATCACGAAATGTTCTTGACTCGAATCTAACTAACTTTTTCCATCCATTTTTATGCATATTCTCAACCACATATAAATTCCTTTTGTCACCTCATTCAAAATAGAAATCGCATAACTGATAACATTTTTAAGAGAGATTTTGTGAGAACTAACAACCTTCATTTTTAAAAACTCATAATTCTTGCAAACAAAATTTCTTTCATCTTCAACCTATAGTTTTGATTTCAGATCTTGATCATGAGAGATTTGTAATTTTTGAGGGAGATGTCTCTTGAAACTAATTGTTCTTCAAGGTTATGGTAAAGATTTTTAGAAAGATTGCAGGATTGAGGTTGTTGTCATTGGTACTAAAAAATTCCAGTGAAAAGAGGGAGGTTCTTCTCTCTAGCTGACCTTAGTAGTGAGTGTGGAAGGCTTCAAATAAAGTGAAGTTCTTCTTAATCTTCAAATAGTTCACTACTCAATAAATTAGTAGGGTCAAGGGGTGATTGTCACAACCGAAGACTATGAACATATTAGTGAAGCTGAAAGATTCAAGAAGCAGGAATCGAGTAAAGACTTTGCAAAAGAGTTTTCCATTAAGCTGTATACAAGTCAAGATCCAGATAAAAGATTTATTTTTCTCAATATTACTATGGATTAGTGATTATATGATCTTTTGAAAAAAATTGTCAAAACATAGTGGAAGCAAAACAAATTCCAATGGGAAACCATTGAAGAGTGAAGTAAGCTCATGTGGGAACGATATATATGAACCACTATATATCCCAATGTACTCTCTCTCTCTCTCTCTCTCTCTCTCTCTCTCTCTCTCTCTCTCTCTCTCTCTCTCTCTCTCTCTCTCTCTCTCTCTCTCTCATACACACACACACACTCACACACGCACGCACACAAACACATTCACTTTCACTCTTACATATCAATTTTCATAGAATATTGCATGCTTGGGTTATCAATCCTTAGTTTAGTTTATCGTTTATTTCAATTGATAGCGAATATTACGTAAGGTTAGGTTTTGTTAGAATTAGTACCTAATTGAGATTTAGTGCTGATTAAAATGCAGAAAATTAGTGCTGTTAGAATATGGTATTAATTGAATTATTATACATGACACATCTTGTGTAATCTACAATTACTCAATTAATCATTGTCTTTGAACAATCTGTGAGATTTGTGAATTATGTTTTTTTCAACGTGGTTGAATTCTAATACAAGCATATGATCTCTATTTTTCACTTTAAGACTTCCACGCATTTTTGAAAAACCGGTTAAAAATTTTAATAAGGGTCTATTCACCCCTCTAAACCTTTTCTCTACTCCATATTCTCACCCAATAATTTGTATCAGAACTTGGTTTTTGATCATTTTTAATTGACCTAAAAGTTAGGGAATATTGCTAACGATGAAGATCCAAAGGGAGAGTATAATAGAGCACATGTTCTTAAAGGCGAGAATTATGTTTATTGGAAAGAGAACATGTATGTACATTTACTATAAGTTGAAAAATCTATGGGTAACTGTCACTGAATGGCCTTTTATCCATAAGGGAGACGATGATGTTGTTAAACACCAAAAGGATTGGAAAGATGATGAAACCAAAAAGGCTTCATATGGTTTGAAAGCGAGGAACATACTTATCTCCTCT